CAACTTGAGGCGCGGCCGCGGTCTCGCCAGCGCGCACTCGACTCCACCACGCCTCCGCAAGTGAAAGCACCTCTCACACCACCACACGATGAAAATAGGTAATAACATTTTTTGTGACACAAGAAGACGAAAGGAAAGAGGGTAGGTTGGCTTCAGGTGGCGATCATGATGTCGCCCACGAGGAACCGCGAGAGGAGCGTCTGCGGCGAGTAGCGCCTGACGACGTCCCGCAGCGCCCGGGTGTAGTGGTAAAACAGCGCGCCCAGCGCCATTGTGCGGCTCTGTAAGGTTCACAAAACATGTCCGTCAACTCCCGCACGACACACGACGCGACACACAGCACACGCCGCAATCGTCGTAATTCCTTCGCCGCCCTTCACACACGACGCACACGACGCACACGCACACGCACACGACACACAGAAGGGGGACGTACGTGAAGGACGAGATAAGAGGCACGCCGGGCAGCGTCCTGCGGCACCGCTAGAGCCGAAAACGAAACGCCGCCTGAAGGTTTTCGTTGCATGAGAAAGAACGAAAGAACGAAAGAGACAAAGGCGAAAGCGAAGGAGAATGTGGGGAGGGGGGAGGCGCACTGGGGAGAGACTTGGGGTCGGAGAGGGAGAGGAAGAGGGAGTAGAGGGGGAAGTGGTTGAGGCCCTCGGTGAGGAAGGCGAGCGCGGCGTAGAGGCAGAGGACCAGCAGGCGGAGCACCCCGAAGTAGAGGTAGAACACGAAGGTGGTGGGCAGGAGGAAGAAGATGACCGTGAACAGCAGCGTGCCCAGGAGCAGCTGGTCCACGTCATACGAATACGAATCGATCCGCTGCCGCAGCACGTTCCGCTTCTTGCCTGCGTGCGTGTCGTTAGTGGCGTAAGTTGTATGACACACGACACACACGACACACACGGCACACACGACACACACACGACACGAGCGAAGGCAGTACCGCGGAAGAGTTTCCACAGGGAGGAGAGGATGTGCAGCATGATGGCGTAGAAGCGAGCGGAGACGGTGTAGAAGTAGAAGACGTGGATGGTGAAGAAGGAGACCATGTCCGACAGCAGCGCGAGCGTCATCGTGAGGCCCATGAGGCCAGCCAACGACGCCACCCGCAGTAGCGATGGCAAATAGGGCAGCAGTCCTGCGCGTCATTCGGGTTAGCTAATGCATGTGTCGTGTCGCTGCGTGTCGTGTATATCGTGTCGTGTGTGTGTGTGTGTGTGTGTGCCGTGTGTGCCGCGTGTGCCGCGTCGTGCCCGTGTGTGCCGTGT